CAGGTATGGCGCCCAAGGGTGCCCCGAGGCCCCGAGGTTGTGATTTTACCTCAGAAATGAGTCCCAAGGGTACCCTGAGGTCCCCAGGAATGTGACTTTACCTCAGGGGTGGCTTCCAAAGGTGCCCTGAGGTCCTGGAGACGGGACTTTTACCTCATAAATGAGTCCAAAGGGTTCCCTGTTGCCCCAGGGATGGGATTTTAACTCAGGGATGGCTCCCAAAGGTACCCTGAGGTCCTGGAAATGGGACTTTTACCTCATAAATGAGTCCAAAGGGTTCCCTGTTGCCCCAGGGATGGGATTTTAACTCAGTGATGGCTCCCAAGGGTGCCCTGAGGTCCCAGGAATGGGATTTTCCCTTCAGGAATGGCTCCCAAGGGTGCCCTGAGGTCCCAGGGATGGGATTTTCCCTCATGGATGGGTCCCAAGGGTGCCCTGACATCCCAGGAATGGGATTTTCCCTCAGGAATGGCTCTTATGGATGCCCTAAGATCCCAGGAATGGGATTTTACCTCAGAAATGAGTTCCAAGGGTGCCCTGAGGTCCACGGGATGGGACTTTCCCTCAGGGATGGCTCCCAAGGGTGCCCCGAGGCCCCGGGGTTGGGATTTTACCTCAGAAATGAGTCCCAAGGGTGCCCTGAGGTCGCAGGGATGTGATTTTGCCTCAGGGATGGCTCCCAAGGGTGCCCCGAGGCCCCGAGGTTGGGATTTTACCTCAGAAATGAGTCCCAAGGGTACCCTGAGGTCCCCAGGAATGGGACTTTACCTCAGGGGTGGCTTCCAAAGGTGCCCTGAGGTCCTGGAGATGGGACTTTTACCTCATAAATGAGTCCAAAGGGTTTCCTGATGCCCCAGGGATGGGATTTTAACTCAGCGATGGCTCCCAAGGGTGCCCTGAGGTCCCAGGGATGGGATTTTCCCTCATGGATGGGTCCCAAGGGTGCCCTGACATCCCAGGAATGGGATTTTCCCTCAGGAATGGCTCTTATGGATGCCCTAAGATCCCAGGAATGGGATTTTACCTCAGAAATGAGTCCCAAGGGTTCCCTGAGGTCCCCAGGGTTGGGACTTTTGCTCAGGGATGGCTCCCAAGGGTACCTTGAAGTCCCAGGGATGGGGTTTTACCTCAGGAGTGGCTCCCAAGGGTGCTTTGAGGTCCTAGAGATGGGACTTTTACCTCAGAAATGAGTCCCAAGTGTGTCCTGACGTCCCAGGGGTGGGATTTTGGCTCAGGGGTGGCTCCCAAGTGTGCCCTGAGATCCTGGGGATGGCTCCCAGGGGCATCCTGAGCTCCCAGGGATGGGCCTTTCCCTCCCGGCAGGCTCCCTCCAGCCTCCATCTTCCAGCACAACCCCGAGCACGCCCGTAGCCACCTGGCAAGTAGTTTTGATCATTTTTATTCCCTCTGATGGTGCAGCTTTTTCCTCTCCCTCAGCTCCATTTTCTGTTTTAAAGCCCAGATTTGCTCTGCAGCTTCTCCTGGGGGTTAACACCCTGTTTGGTCGTCAGCCACAGGGATCTCCTCCACTTTTGGGTCCCTGAGCTGCCAGCTTGAGCCTTTGGGCTTTGACTATGAAAATCCCATGGCCTCTTAGGTGCCATTTCCTCCCTTCTCTTATTAATACACATTAATTACTGCTCTTGGAGAGCTTGAGTTGGATAAATCCTTTCTAAAGGTACTTAAATACTTAAAAATGGGGTGGTTTTTTCTTCCTGTTCCTCACGTGCTGTGGGACCTGCTCGCGTCAAGGTTGGGGCTGAGACGAAGCCAGGCGCGTGTCGGCATCTGGGAGGCTGATGGGCTTGGAAAACTTCTGTTTTTTTCCCCTGGATTTTCAGTGAGACTGGACCTGCCCTGCCTATCCATAATACATGAACTGGGGGTTTGGGTTTTGTCCCGAAACTCTGCTAATTGGCTAATTAAAAAGTGAAACGCGCGGAAGGAGCCGACGCTCCTGCTCGGGGGAGACTCTTCCTGGCTGAACATCTGCTCACGTGGTTTCCAAAACCAAGCCTGGGGGGAGGGAAGCTCTCGGGGGGCTGAGGAGGTGGAGGAGCCCCAGAGGTTGTCCTCCCAGGGTGATCTCCTCGGACGGGCCTCTTTCCCAGGAGATGTTGTGCTGCCTCCAGGAGTCTCCTGGGGTAAGTGGTGATCTGATTTCCCCCCTCCCCTCCTCTCTCCACAGATCGTGGACACCTTCTTCATCGGCCGCCTGGTCCTGGTGGCCATCATGAGCCTGGTTGTCCTGGGCTGCCTGCCCCTGCTGCTGGTGTACCACCTCCTGGAGCCCGTGTACGCCACGCCGCTGCACGGCAGGTAGCGGCCATCCCGGGAGAGGACACTGGGAGCAGGCTCAGGGGGATCCCAGCCCAGCAGGAGACACCGAGGGGAGCGAGGGTGTCTGGACTGAGCACAAGGCTTCCTCCCCGGGGGGTGGAGCCTCAGAGGCTGCAGAGGTGTTTTGACCTTTCTCTCCTTCCCTTCTCCCTTCCCCCTCCTTCTCCTTCCCCTCTCTTCCCTCTCTTCCCTCTCTT